TTCTCATACTCTCAGACCCTGAGTACCAGGTATAAGCAATGGCCTCATTTCTGCCATCTCTTTTCCCTTTAAAGAACTCAAACAGCAACGCACCAAAACAGCAAGCATGAACAGAGATTTTGTTTGTTTTCTTTCAACGAAGATTATATATATTCATACTCCTGACATGTCACATGGATACATGCTTACGTTAGTTTAATTATTTTAATATTCTAGTTCCCTTAATTATTGTTTTTATTATTTGTATATTTATACTAGGTTTTAAAATCTAAACAGCAGCTAATACCTACTTAGTTACTCTTCTTTTACAGAATATCCCTGGTTATTCTTGCTTATTTATTTTTAAAAATTAAGAGAGGTACAGCAGATGGCATAGTGGTTACATTGTTGGATTCCCACATGACCAACCACAGTTTGGGTTCCAGATCCAGTAGCTTCAAAATTATTTCAGTTGTGTGTGCAAGCGTGCCCAAGATCCAAGGAGGAGAATGAAGGAGAAGAGATTGCAGTGTGACCATCTCCCCGGAGGGGGTGATTTCTCATTTTCCTTCCCACTCTCTCTGTCTCTTTCTCCAGAAAGCACACATGCTCTAAGGAAAAAAATCTAAAAAATTAAAAGAAATTTTTCGGGTGTTTTAGTTTACAGAGAAATTGAGTGGAAGGTAAAGAATATTCTCATATACTATCTACCCCTTTTCCATTCCCCCTACTATTAACACCTTAATGTGATACATTTATTATAATTGATGAGACGATCTTTACACATTATTATTAACCAAAGTCTATGGTTTACAATAGGGTGCACTCTTCGTGCCATACATTCTATATGTTTTGATAAATATATAAAGACATGTAGCCACCATTACAATACCATACAGAATTGTTTCAGTCTGAAAAATCTGTGTTGCACTTTCACATCCCTTCATAACTTCTGCTAAACCCCTAACAGCCATTGAGATTTTATTGGACATTTACTTTTGCCTTTTCCAGAAGGTCTTATAGTTGAATCAATAAAGTACATAGACTTTTCAGATTGGCATCATTTATTTAGCAATATGCATTTAAGTTTCCTTCATGTATTTTCATGGTTTGATACAGTATTTCTTTTTTTGGTTCATAACATTCCATTTCATGGATGTGCTACACTCTGTTTATCCATTATCCTACCAAAGGACACATCTTGGTTGCTTCCAAATTTTGGCAATTAATGAGCTGCTATAAACATTTATGTGTATATTTTGGTGTGGATATGTTTTCAATGAATTTATGTAAATACCAAGGATTGCAACAGCTGGATTATATGATAAGAGCATATTTTATTTTTTAAGAAACTGCCAATCTTCCTCCCAAACTGGCTGTGCCATTTGTATTTCTACAAGCAATGAATAACAGTTTCTACTCTCAAAAATCTCACCAACTTTTGGTGCTGTCAGTGTTTTGGATTTTACAATTTTAATAGGAGTGTAGAGGTATTTCATTTTTTATGATTTTTTTCAGTTTACATAGTTTTAAATTTTATTTTATGATTTTTTGTACACATTTGTGAGTATTTTAACAAGTTTTTAAAGTTATTTTCTTAGTGGTTGCTCTAGGGTTTACAATATGCATCTCTACTTATTGGAACCTATTTCAGATTTATCTGTAACAGCTTAGTTATGGTGAGATATATTGTAGAAACCTTATTCCTACATAGCTCTCTTGCCTGTTTTGGTCTCCTGATCAGTGGGGTTTCTCTGTGGTCTCCTAAACTGAGGATAGGTTCTGGTTTAATAGGAACAGACTCTGAACAACCATATAGGATGATTTAATAATGGAAGAGTCGATGTGCCCTGGAGACAGATAAAATAAGAACTTGAAGAAAGGTAATCATTTATTTTTTCCTGCTCATAGTAATATCATGAAAAAGCTTCGCAAATGCCTAAGATTAAAAAAAAAATCTTGTACTAAAACATTCACAGATTCTAAAGTAGGAGTGTAAGGAATGGGCTGACCATGCGAGAAAATAGGAATGTAGTGCCTTTTATTGAAAATGCTCCCAGGTGAGGTTTACTGGTCCAACAGGGAGGGAGACAGAGAAGTCATTCCCTAGGGAGGGGTTTAGTGTTTTAATAAGGGTATAGGGAGGGGGAGTGTCTTAGAGGTAGAAACAGTCCATGTATGGTAATGATTTAGGAGGAGAGCAGACTACTGTGCCACGTAGGGTCTGGTGCTGTGTGCAAAATAGAGCACTGTGTGTTACATCCTGATTAGATCTGAGTGCAGCACAGTCTGATGACAGACTAGATCTGGGTTGCGTCAACTGACAGTGGCGTAACGTCCAACCCCTACAACCAAGCTGCCTAGGTCCCATGTCTAACAAGGAGGTCTTAGTTTACTGGTCCATGTCTTGCAATGCCTGAAAAATAGGTTCTTCTTTTAGCGTGCATGTTTCTCAGAAGAGACCAGTAGAATGTAGCTGTCTGCCAACAAGGCTGTAAACTAAAAATAGAGGAAAGGGGAAAATATCCAACCAAGAACTGTAAAATGATCTAGTACAGAGGAAATTACGAATGACAAAATAAGAATAGTAAATGAAGCATTTAATAATTGACAGAGCAGAATAACTTGGGATGACAGCAGAAATAATGGGTGTGGCTTCAATTATGTGGAATTGGAGCAGTTAAAAATTTGAATTTAAATATTTAGAAGAAAGGAATAAACATGACTGTTTAGGTATCATGAAGACCTGGTGTGGAAGAGTATATGACATAGAGCTGAGAGGGTTAGGACAGAGAAAATCAAATACCATTATTGAGAATATACACTATAGACCACCTGACCAGAAAGAGGAAAGTAATTACACATTTTTTATAAAGTTTATTTATTTCTTCCATGAGTGAGAAAGACAGAGACAGAGAGAAAAAGAGAGAGAGAGAGAGAGAGAAAACCCTCAACAAGATCGTGATGCCAAGATGCCCTCAGTTTCAGCCAACCCTGGATCATGGGCATATGTATGACTGGTGTACTTGGGGAGGTCTCTGGAAGCAAACCAGAAACCTTCCCATTTTGGTAAACCTCACAAAGTATTGCCTTTTACCACTGCACCACCATGCAACTCCTATATATTCTTAGCACTTAGCTTTAGTACAATTTATCACTCCCCCTGAAACCCAAGGGATGGGACAACAACCTTGAAACTCCCATGAATTATGAAGAAGGCTCTAGTAAGTTGTGATTGCTCGTTAACTGATTTTCCAGCAGACATACAGAGGTTCTGTTCATTAGTACTAATTGATCAGAGAACTGAACAAAGTGTGTAGATATGTGTGTGTTTGGGATAACGTAAGTGACAAAGAATTGGTGAGATTAGGGTCCCAAATTGAAATGCCTGCTGGAGCCAGACACCCTGTCTACAGAGACAGCTGCTACTTTGTTCCAGATTGTTGTCATGTGAGAATATTTAAGTCCACTGTTGCCAGATGTGCCAATTTAAAAAAAAAAAAAACTAGAAAAAACATGGATTTTATATTAAATCCACCTTTGTAATATGGTCAACAATGTTTCTTCCTTTTGTCCTTCCCACCCACCCACCCTCAGTCATCTACTCTCTACCACTCACTCCCCTCCAGTCTCTGGTATCTACACTTATCTTCTCTACTATCCTATCTTTGTATTTTTCAATTTCTGCCATTCAGTACATACATTTGGTACATATTGAGTGGGTATATACAGTGCATATCTTTCAAAATATGGCTCACTAATTTAGATGATGGGTGTGATTCATGGTAGAGTCTTAGTTTAGTGACTTAAACTCAGTTGGGACTTTTTGTCCATTAAGTATGGGTTTGGTTCCAGCTTGGTAGAGGTAAGCATTTGTACCAAATGCAGTCTAACATGTTGGTTTGTAGTCTATAAAAATGTCTTCTGTGGTGAAAATGGTAAGTAGATTATGCTTGGTTAGGATCAGTCTATTTAGCAAGTAACTGGAAAATCAGTGGTCATACTATAAAGAAACTAATTACAGGTAGTTCTCCTTCAGTGCTGTTTTTATGTGCTCATTTCCCTTAGATCATAAGTGCCCTAAAGACTATGGTGAACATTAGATTTGGTACTAAATATGTTGGAAAGTTATTAGAGGCTTATGAACAGGGAAAAGACATGATCCAACTTAATACTTTAAAAAGAACACTTTAAAAGAGCTGACAGGAAGGTCCTCTCTAAAGCTATAACCTGGAGATTTCCAGAAAATCTACCTTTACTAACCTCAGTCTTTTCCCCATAACTTGTTCTTCCTAAAGAAGTTCTTATATTTAAAAGTCCATGTGCCACATGCTACCCTCTACCACAAATAGAAAATTTCCTTATTGTTCTTGAGCCATGTTTCCTAAGAAATGTGAAGCCCGTGTCATCCTGGATGTGCTTTCCAAGGATGACAAAGTCTTTTCTTTATTTTTATTTTTTTTAAATAATTTATTTCTCTTTGTATATACATTCAATCACATTGTTTAGCTTACAATGTGAGCATTTCAATATGTGAACATTTCTCCCCAGTCCCGTTGATCAAACGACATGATTGTATACATAGAAGACCAAATGGTCTCCATGGAAAAATTACTGGAAGTAATAAATGATTACAGTAAAGTTGTAGGATATAAAATCAATATACAGAAATCGATAGCATTTCTATATACGAATAACAGGCAGATTGAGATAGAACTGAAAAAGTTTTTCCATTTACTATTGCCACCAAAAGTATTCGATATTTAGGAATAAATCTAACCAAAGAAGTTAAAGACCTCCACAAGGAAAACTATGAGAAGCTAAAAAAAGAAACTGAAAACGACACCAAGTCTTTTCTGATTGAACTAACTTCCTAGTATTCTTGTCTGGCCTTCAGGCCATTTCTCAGATATATGACAGAGACGGAGACTTCTAGATATCTGATCTTTCCATCTAAGAGAAAAAGTGATATGGTCTTGTAAACTGATCTAATTACATAATGCTATACTTCTGTCTTTTAGAAAATACTGAAGGAGGGACCTCTGCTGAAGAACTGTAACTCCTTCAAAAGATGGAAGCTTAGATATTTCCTGGTTCGAGGACAGAAGCTCTGCTTTGCACACCACCCTGCGGTAACATATAGAATCTTGTCAGTTGAGTTAATGGGTGGGTTGCAGGAATTGTTTGTGTGGAGAGATAGGCCAATAGGTAAAGACATGTTGGCAAACATTTGAGTAGAAGTTGAAACCCTCTACTCTGCCTTTATCTTGTCCTTTTGGGACAAATGGGGGACACTTTTTCTCCTTTTCTCTTTCTGTTTCCCTTTCCTTTTATATATTGTCCAGTTTGCTTCTACATCCAGAGCCAATCACATAATTTGCACAGCCCAGTCCAAAATGAAAATGCAGAGCCCCTTATTCAAAAAGCAGGGTTTAAAGTGCCATTAAAAGTACTAACATATAATGTTTTATATTTATACTAAAATATAAAGCAATGACTTATGGCATTTCTATTTGTTATTTAATGTCATTCTAAGTAAATAAAAATAAATTTTAAAATAGTTAGCACAGGGAACCAGCAGTTAGTGTAATGGCTATGTCGCTATGTCGCTGGCCTCCCACGTAGTCAACCGCGGTTCGCGTCCCGGACCCGGTGGCTTAAAACTCACACTGGGTGCGTGTGCATGTGTGCCCAAGATCCCGAGAAGAAAATGGAGGAGAAGGGATTGCGGCGTGACCATCCCTCCTGGGGGGTGATTTCTCGTTTTCTCTCTCTATGTCTCTGTCTGTCTGGAAAGTGCATGCGCCCTATAGCAAAAACCTCTCCAAAAAAAATAATAATTAGCATAGGGTCAGCCAGTGGTGTGGTGGTTAAGGTGACTGGATCCCACATGGTCAATTGCACAGTTTGAATTCCAGACCCAGTATCTTGAAACACATGCTGGGTGTGTGTGCATGCGTGCCCCCCAAAAAAGAATAACTGATAATTTAACTAATAATAACTAATAATTAATTAGCATAAATTTTACTATTAACCTGTACATCACACAATACCAGTTTTAAATGCAAATCACAAAATTTTAAATTTGTATTTAATAACGTATATACTTGAATATATTTTGTTTTTACCAGTACGCAAAACTGGACAAAAATAGTTGAACTGTTTTTATTTTACTTACTGATACTTGCACTTTCTACCAATACTTTCTTACTAAAAGAAAAAGAAGTTATGGGTTACCCTAGCTTTCCCTTTCCTTAAATACCATCATTTTCAGCATAAATGGTTGACTAACAGAGAAAATTAACATGACTAAGAAAGAATACAATGGGGCTCCTTGGTTGTTCCTTTAGAACACCATTTGCCTTTTTTTTTTTTTTTAAGTGTTTGAAGCAAATTCTGGTTCCAACAGAAAGTGAAGCTTCTTGGCTCTGACCTCTCCACTTGTTCGGTAATAGCTGTAAACCCATATACCTTGTATTTGCTTTGAGTCTTGCTGAATTCCTATGCATTATGAATCCACTAAAATTCTATGCTCTTGAATATCACAAATACAAATATAGTGACAAGACATGGGGTGGACATGTATGTTATGCATATCTCTTCTGGTCATGTGCATGATCTATTGTACCATCAGACTTTCTTACAAAACACAAAGCCAGGGATAAAATTATTAAGAATTTTGGGCCCAACAGATTGCATAGTGATTAAGGCACTGGATTCCCACAAGGTCAACCATGGTTCAAGTTCCGGACATGGTTGTTTGAAAATCATGCTGGGTGTATGTGCATGCATTCCCAAAATACCAGAAGGAGAATGGAGAATAAGAGGTTGTGGCATGGCCACCCCTCCTAGGGGGGGACGGCTTCTCACTCTCTCTCTCGCTGTCTCTTTCTGTCTCTCTATGGTGAGTACACACACCCTATGACAAAAACCTTTAAAAAAATCAGAATTTCAAGATGGCAACAGCAGAGTATTAAATCAAGTGTGGTGCCCTTCTAAACATAGGGTCTTATGTGACTGCACAGGATACATACTGTGAAACCAGCCCTGATTGTATCCCTAGTACTGGTTTCCTAGTGCTGACTGGGTGGTATCTACTATGGCCAATATATAAGGAGACATAGGCCTCAATCTGGATGAGACTAACAAACTAGTTAAAGGCTGCCGCCCAATAAATAAGAGCAGGTAATAATCTGTTCTACTAAGGATCTATCTAGACCACATTCTATTTCTTCTCTGGCATAAACCTCTATATAAGAATAATTTTCAACTGACCAACTCAAGCCTTCTCATAAATCAAAATGAATGTTAGGAGGAGAGTTGTTATATTTTGGTTTAATTTGATTTGTTTCTATTTGTCACATGATATTTCAACAAAAATCATGTTGATTAATAAATTACAGTTTTTGAGCCAAAGAAATGATTGGATCATGACTAACAAAGATGCCCATTAATGTGTGTGTGTGTGCACCCATGCACACATTTTCCTTTTAATGCCTCATTTACCAAATGGTTTTTTATTCTGCTTTCTCTTATATCTTTCCAGTTTGCGCGCTTTGAAACAATTGATCTATCTCAAGTCGCCTTGGCAGAAAGCAACTGTAGAAACCTTTGCCACACTTTTTGTGTAAGTAAAATTGGCATGACTGAATGGACGAAGGTGGGAGCTAGCTGTGAAGAAACTGCCATACTCACTTGGTGCCTCTTTGCACTTCTGGTTTCAGAATTCTCCTCTCATCCCAAAGTATTATTATTTATGCAAACATTTTCTACCAGCTCACTTAGGGGAAAAGGGAAAGGATAGTTTTGCTCCCTATTACCAGCCTATTATAAAGCTAAACCCATTTTAGAGGGCAGGGAGTGGGTGACTATTACAAAAATCAGTCCTCTTGATAAAGGTGATTTAGAACAGTATCATTATGAGACTTTCAAGAGACTGCTATCAGGATAATTAAGTTACATGACACCTTCTCCTTTAATTAGATAAATAAGAGCCTAAATCCAAATTGCAATTTACTACATGCTGAGATGACTGGTGACAGTACCTCAAAGAAAACAGAGAGGTTTTTAGGGAAATATTCAAGGGCTTGGTGTAGCTGAACTGTTGTGTGGCTTTAGTAATTCAAGTGGAACAGATTAGAAAGCCCACTGAAAAAGAAAGTCTATTGGCCAAGGAATTTTCCTATGCATCTCCTCCCAGAATTGTCTTCTCCTAGCCTCAATGGTGGGTTATGGAGAATGAGGTTCCTCTTCAGGCAGATAAGGTATAGTAGTATTTACAGGACTAAAGAACTATAGACCCAATACCTTGCTTTTATGATTGACAGGTATCTCATCCTCCTTTGAAAGGAGAGAAACTGAATCTAAGGAGATCCTGTTTTCATTTCTCTCTCATTACATTACACTGACCCAGGCTAAAGCTGAGGGTTCTGACGACTGGTCCTAAAAAGCTCAACCTGGGTGGCATGGTGGTTAAGGCACTAGACTCTCACATGGCTAACTGTGGTACAAGTCCCAAACCCAATGGGTCAAAACTCACACATGGCACATGAGTATGCATGCCCAAAATTCTGAGAGGAGAATGGAGGAGATGGGATTGCAGTATGGCCATGACCCCTGAGAGATGATTTCTCACTTTTCCTCTCTCTGTCTTTCTCTGGCAAGTGCATGCACTCTATAGCAAAAACCTAAAAAATTAAAACAAACAAACAAACAAAAAATGAATGAATGAATGAATGAATAAATAAATTAAAAGCTGAAGCTTTTTTTGTTTGTTTTATTAGAGGTTTTTGCTACAGGGCGCATGTGCTCACCAGAGAGACAGAAAGCAAGAAATCACCCCCCAGGGGGTGTGGCCACAGCGCAATCCCTTCTCCTCCATTCTCCTCTCAGAATCTTGGGCATGCAGACACACACGCCCAGTGTTAGTTTAAGCCACTGGGTCCAGGACTTGAACCATGGTCGACGACATGAGAGTTCAGTGACATAGCCATTATGCTAACTGCTGGTCCAAAAAGCTGAACCTTCAGGTTATAAGCCTGAAGGGTAATGTTTTTAGCTTCCTTTCTACGAAGAAATACTTAGGGTTAGGCTTCCCCTTAATGTGATTAAATCACAGAGGCACCGTACATCAGTCCCACCCATGATGTGTTTGGACCAAAGGAATGGCTGTTATCACAATCTCAACTAGCTCCTATTCCCATATACAACAGAACCATATTGTGCTACACTCGAAGAGAGAAATAAATCACTTGTTGGTGTCGTGAGCTTGAGTTCTAAGATTTGGAGGTAGTAAGAGCAAGTAGGGTCACTGAAGCAATGACTGATCATATAGTTGTCCATGCTCCTTCCTGCTCTCTGGGAGAAGACCAAATCCTGCCCATCATCTATGCCTGCTAATTATTCTTCCTGTCTAGGTTCTTGCAGCAAGCAGGATTAAGAGATAGCCATAAAATTAACTTCAGGTTGTCTTAACCCATAAGAAAATAAGAAACTAAATTTTTGAACATCTTGTTCTTATCTCACATCGATGAAGCATATACATTTTTACTACTTCAGATAGAGAGCAGAAGTAAGCAAGTTGAGTTTTCAGGCACCCTCACTTGAGTAAATAGATGGGTATGTGGCTTAGTATTTAAGATCATGGACTCTGGAGCCAAATAATTTTGATTTTAAGCTTAGTTTATTAACTGCTATATGCCCCTGGGCAAGTCATTTGCCTTGGTTTTCCAGACTATGAAATGGGGAAAAACAATGACACCTCATGGGGTTGAAATGAAGAATGAATTAAATAATGTACATAAGGTACTTTAGAATTTTTCCTGGCATATAGTGAGTGTCAGTTATTACTGTTATCATTATTATTAACTTGGGTGGGTATCTAAAGAGCTGTGAGTGGCCTTGGAAACTTCTGTCTTATATGAAAAAAATGACTTGGATTGTGCTTGATAGATATGTCTAGTTCCTTAAAGAGTTCATATACTTTTTTGAGGGATTAAGTTGTGGAGTGAGAACTAGCTAATAATGTGACTTTTTGTCTAGGTTATCACACCAGAGCGAAAATTCACCCTGGCAGCTCCCAACCGGAAAGACATGGAAGAATGGATTAATGTCATAAAAACTGTGCAACAGGGAGAAATTTGTAAGGTAATGGAAACAGAAAATTCATACAACTCTCATGGGTAATACTTCATGATCACATTAGTTGAGCCATCTTTCAAATAAGGAAATAGTAAGATGGGAGCAAGAGACCATCTGGTCAGAAATTATAGATAAACATTGTTGTAAAGGTCTTAGAGATGAAAGGGAAAATTAACCCAGCCTTTAAAAGACTCTTACATCTTAAATAGCTAACATAGGGCAAGGGATTGTTCTAGGCATTTGAAATGGAGCAGTGTATGATGTAGTTTAGTAATAATGGGGTTTAGAAATAAAAATAATGCCATTGTGAACAATCTATCTCCTCCCTCCAGGACTTCTCAGACTTTTGGACACTTAGTCTCATAACTATACATTCTACTACCTATGGCTATGATGAGGGAATATGACAAGTTGGCTGACCTAGGTCTCTCCACCTATCATTAACACCTCTCCCAGGCCCACATTGTATGTGCTCAATTGAGAAATTCTTTGCTTAGAACCTGATGATGGTCCTTTTTAAAAGTGTATTATTTATTTCTTTCATAAGAAAGAGAGAGAAAGATACCCCTAATAGGGTCTTCACACCATGATTCACCCTCAGTCTTAGCAAGTCTGTATCATGGGTGTGTATGTACTAGCCTGGAGGCCTCAGGAGTTAATCAAGGACCTTTCCCATGTGAGTCCATTTGTATTACAGCTGCACCACCTCCTGGCTTTCTGATGATGGTTTTTATTTGATTTAGCACTCAGCATTTTATTATTTTGTTATTTTCTTTTTTTCTTATGAAAAAGCACACCCCCTTCACCCAGTGAGGCTACTACAGCACACCGTCAGAGGTAGCCACAAAGAGTTATAAATGATATGTTCTTGGGAACATATAGTGAAAATCTCTCCTCCCCCCAAAAAAAATTATATGTTCTTCCATTCTCAACTCTGTGGACTATTTCTTTCTCTTGGCTTACCCCTATTCAAACCGGAGTGCTTCGTATGAATCACATAATATTTTCAAGTTTGTATAAAAGGTCATATAAGATATTTTAATGATTAGTCCAGGAATGCAAAAACTGCTAGAAAAAGGCATTAGAAAGTGATGTGTCATTCCCGATTTCATTGAATTAAACACCTAGGTATCGACTACCCAGCACAAACTAGAAAGAAAATAGAAAATCTGTCTCTTTACCTCTTGGAAGAGTTGTATCAGTTTGTAATCCCAACCTCTGTGAAGCTGTTCCAGGAAACTAAATCTATTAAGGAGCACTTTAAGTTGAAGTAAAATGTTTTGCCACCAGAAATTTAGCACTTCATCTTGCTTGAGACTTAAATAATCAAATATGCTTTCTAGCATATGTACTTTATCTCTAATAGTCTCTTCTATCCTCTGTCACCACCAGTGCCTGACAAATGGAGTGAGGGAAGCTTAATCATGGACTTAGTGGTCTATTAAAGTAGTGACAAAGTAATTGGATAATCTATTGGAAACTAGTCAGTACACATCAATGAACCAACTCCTACTAGGTGCCCAGTTACGTTCTACAGAGAGTTGAAAAGAAAGTGTAATAAAGGATCAGTCTGGTGGCATGGTGATTAAGGCAAGTAGGTCCCACATGTCTGTCTGCACAGTTTGAGTCCCAGACCTGGTGGCTTGAGAAATATGTTGAGCATGTGTGCATGCCTGTCCAAAATCCCGAAAGGAGGGCAAGATAGAGGAAAAGATATTGCAGTATGAACATCCCTCATAAGGGGTGCTTTCTTCCTCCTGCGCCATCCCTGCCACAACAAGTGCACTCACTCTCTAGCAAAAAAAAAAAAAAAAAGAAAGAGCATTTTTTGGGGGGAGGATTTGCTATAGGGCGCATGCACCCGCCAGACAGAGAGAGACAGACAGAAAGTGAGAAATCACCCCCCAGAGGGGATGGCCACGCCACAATCCCTTCTCCATTCTCCTCTCGGGATCTTGGGCACACATGCACATGCGCCCAGCATGAGTTTTAAGCCACCAGGTCCACGACATGAACCGCGATCGACTACATGGGAGTCCAGCGACATAGCCATTATGCTAACTGCTGGTCCCCAAAAAGTATTATTTTTAAAAAAGAAGAAATAATAGTAACTCCTGGTCTTAATGAGCTTTTTTAGGTAGTTGGGAGGCAAGATATACACAAAAGAAATAGTTAAATGACACTATTCAAAATAAATATCAGTTTTCAGAGATTTTACAAAGTAGTACATGATTGATGGATGAATGAAACAGACAATAAAGTTGACCTTAATTAAACTGAACAATTCAGTTCATGCTACAGCATAAACACTGATTTTGTTGTTTCCAAATTAACTTTTATCATATAAGCAATTCCAAGCAAAATTTCTTTAATCTTTAGAAGATTTTGTGCTTCATCGGATGTTTTACCCAAGAGTTTTATGCACTTTGCAAACACTTAATATTAAATCCTTACTTTTGGATAATGCTTTAGAGTTTACAAAATACTTGATTTATAAGATTTCATTTAACTAATAGAAAAATAATTAATGTACATATCTGAATTCTGGAATATACTGAAAGGGATTCAGGAGATGGAGAAAACAGCCTTAGCTTCCTTGGAACAGTAATGGCTTAGTCAGTTATTGGCTGCTCTATTAAAACACACACACACACATACACACACCCACACACACACACACATACACACACAGATTGAACAGCTTAATTAACAAACATTTATTTCTCACATTTATGGAAGCTAGAGAGTACAAGATCAAAGTGCTGTCAGGTTGAGTTTCCTGCAGTGGCTACCTCCTGGTTTACAGACAAACATCTCACTAATTAGTATACTAATCCTGTGTATGAGGATTCCATTACCTTTTATAACCATTATTTTACAATTAGTCTACCAACATATGAATTTTGGGGTAACAAAAAAATGTAAAAATGTCAATCTTTCTTACATGCAAAATGTTCTTTATATCCAAACAAACCCCCCCCATTTTAATTAATTCTACCATTAACTCTTAAGTCTAAACTCCAAAATATCATCAAAATAACATTTAACTCAGATATTTGAGACACCTTGAGGCAAAATTTTTCTCAGGCTGTGAACTTTTGAAGTCAAACAACTTATATGTTTCCAAAATACAGATAGAGACATTCCCATTATAAAAGGAAGAAATAAGATAAAAGAAGGAATGATATGTCCCAAATTAAAAACTGTAGCAAGGCAAACTCCACGAGATCTTAAGACTCAAGAATAGTACTGTTTAAAGGCATGGCGAGTAACTGTGGATACTAAATGCGGTGTGGGAGGAAGGTGGGAAATGAGAGAGGGTGAGAGGGAGGGAATCAGGGTAAAAAGAAAGAAGCAAATCATTTAAGAGACACAAAAATGGAAAATTATTTGTTGATAATGTGTATGGTAATATCTTTGACTAGACATGAATATAGTGTATTCATGATGTGAAAATTCATTTGATATGATGTAATGATACACAGTGGTTGAATATACAAAGTAAAATAAAAAGAATATTATTGTTTGACCAAATGTTCTGCCTTCTATTAGGCTGTCAGGAAAGTCATGATTTATTTTTTATGATTTCCATGCAAAACTGCATCATGACTTTCCTGACAGCTCAGTCGATTCATGGGGGCCCTAGTCTTGCTTTCCTAATTCGCTGGGATGGAGGTCTTGCCTCTTGGGTCCACTGGGGTAGCAATGTTACCCCTACAGATTAGAGGAATATTGCCAATGCTGTGGCGTTCTGCAGTGGCCCCATTGATGCCAAAGTTTTTTATTGAAGGTCATGCCCTCACAGCTCTGCCCAGTGGCTCTACCCACACAGATTTTCTGGCCATTGGTTCTATCCTTTGAAACTTAAGTGTGAACAGTCCTGTCCTCCCTAGGCCTGTGTACTCAGGGCTTGTGCTGGGAGTGGCAGTCTTGATAATCTCTGAAACATAACTGGGATCCCTCTTTCCTTGTCTTAAACAATAGCATGTGTTCACAGCCAAATAGTTCTACAGTGCAGTTCTGTAGCTTCTAAGTCTGACAGTCTGATAATTTTGTCCCATTTCCACCAACAGTATAGGAAGATTCTCTTTTCACTGCTGCCTCACCAGCATTTATAATCCTTTATCTTTTTTAATCAGCCATTTTGACCAGAGTCAAGTGGTAATCCATTATGGTTTTCATTTGCATTTTCCTTATGGTAAGAGGTGGTGAGCATTTTTGCATATAGATTTTGGTCATTTGTGTGTCTTCCTTGATGAGTTTTCTGTTCAGCTCATTTACACATCTAATTGTATTGATTATTTTTTTGCAGGTAAGCTGCTTGAGTTCCCTGTATATCAGTTCTTTATCTGAGGCATAGTTTACAAATATGTCCTGCCATTCTAGGGGTTGTCTACTCATCCTACTTATTGTTTCATTTGCTGTGCAGAAGCTTTTTAGCCTAATGTAGTCCCACTTGACTATGTTTGAGATTATTGCCTATGCTTTGGGGGTCTTATTTAAAAACTGATTTTTCCCCTTCATGAATACTCTGTATATTGGTTCAATCAAAGATATTACCATACAACAGATGATTTTCCATTTTTATGTTCCTTAAATGGTTTGCTTCTTAATTTTTTCCCTTGATTCCCCTCCTCCATTGCCCACCCTCCTCTGCACTGTCTCTAGTATCTACAGTTGTTCTCCATGACTTTACACCTTGCAATCTTTTGGTTTCTGCCATAGAGTACAGACTTTTGGTATAATTGAATGGGGACATACAATGCCTCTATTTCATAGTCTGGATTGCTTCGCCTAACAGTAAATCTTCCATGTTCATCCACTTTCTATCACATACCAGGATCTCATTGTTTTTTTTTTTTTTTTTTTTTTTTTTTTTTTTTTTTTTTTTTTTTTTTTACATCTGAGAAGTATTTGGAAGCGTACAAGTGTCATATTTTTCGATCTATTCTTCTGCTTGTGGATATTTGGGTTGGTTCCATGTCTTGGCAATTGTGAATACTGCC